GTGGAGAGAGAACCCCTGTTCAGATTACATGCTCCTAACAGACTTCTCTCCTCTCCGGATTTTTCTTCAAGATGGAGCTACTAGATCCCATGTGGTTAAGCCTCTTGTTTACTTCATTTGTGTTTCTGTGTGTGTGCTTTCTTTGGCATCGCTGCGGCCACAGGTGGGGAGGGGTGCTACTCCGTTTCCTCACCTCACTTTCACAGACAGAAGAATATCCACATTCTGCAGGGTTTTGCTCCTAGTTTTGTTATCGCCCTCTGCAAGGTGCTTCTGATCTGTTTCTCCCAGGTTTTTGGCTGACTGATTTTCGTTTTTGCTATCTAGTGCAAACCCACCTCTCTTCCCAAGTATACCTTTCCTTTCTCTTTTTGTTTTTTGTTTTTTGTTTTTTTTGTTTTTTTGTTTTTTTGCGGTACGCAGGCCTCTCACTGTTGTGGCCTCTCCCGTTGTGGAGCACAGGCTCCGGACGCTCAGGCTCAGCGGTCATGGCTCATGGGCCCAGCCGCTCCGCCGCATGTGGGATCTTCCCGGACCGGGGCACAAACCCGTGTCCCCTGCATCAGCAGGCGGACTCTCAACCACTGCGCCACCAGGGAAGCCCACCTTTCCTTTCTTGATTGTTCCTCTGACCTGTAACGGCTCACTCTACCATTATATTATCTTTGAACCCATTCGCATATGTAGATCTTGTCTAACCAAACAAGTTGTAAACTCCTCAAAGGCAAAGCCTGTGCCTTTACCTTTGTTTACATCCATTGCAGCCGCTATTATGATTTGCCTAATGTTAGTGTGACAGGTACCGCATTCTTTCAGTTATAATATATAATCGTGAAAGTGAAAAGTCAATACTGATCTAATAACCCCTATGACAGGGATGGAGAGAAGAAAAGATTATCTTAAATATACACGTTGAGGGTAAGATACATTCTGCTTTTAGCGATGTTTAAATATCCTAAAGACACACACATACACATGTACACACGCACATGCACAAAATACATCTTGAAAGTGAGGAACTGTTGAGTCGATTGGCTTTCTAACTTCATAAGTTTGCTTATTAATACTGTCCCCCGTGAGGTCGTTTATTTTGCTCTTCATAATTTCAATTCCGTTAGTATTTTTCTAATAAACTATGTTGGTGTGGAATGTCATTGTCAAAGGGAAGGAGCAAAGATTAGAAAGTTGGGCGTTCAGTGCCAGTGCAAGCTCTTGCATCCAGGTGGTGACTTGGAGATAATGAAGAGCATTGTTTCAGAGCCCTTGTGGGTCACGGCATGCGGGCTGCCCCTCCCCCCCATCCTCTCTCCAACGTGTCATCTTGCCTCTTAGCTTTGTCCCGCCTCAAGGCATTCTGTGTGCAGTTGTTTCTGTCGCACTGTTCTTCCTGCTTTCTCATCCAAACCACTTCCCTCCCCACGGTGGCTCAGTGACCCCCTCAGTTTAAATAAAACTTGCTCAAGGAAGCCTGGGTCAAGTTCTCAGTCACTCCTTTCCTAGCCCTGTCTGCTGTTTCCTAATCTGTTCTACAGTTATTTATTGGACACTAAATATAGGCCAAGTCCTGTGCTGGGCCCTGGTGGAAAAGCTGTGACTAAATTAGAAAACAATCTCTGTCCACATGGAGCTTTTCATTCATTCCAGTGAAATAATGGAAGTGCACATTATTTGAAGATGTGCTTTGTGCATTCTGAGTATCATATTTAATACTTTTATTGAATCTAGGTGACAGTTACTATCATTATATTTATTTTACAGATGGATATGCAGGCTTAGGGAAGTTAACTAATGTGTAGCAGGCACAAAGCTGGTAAGGGGCAATCCCAGACAGGCGGTCTGGAGCCCAAGTCTGTACCTTTACCAAGCCTTTTATTCCATGCTGCCTTGATACATGCTTACTGTGTGCATGAATGAATGAATTTCCCAATACTTTCTGAGCTCTTGGTTTTCTTATGGATTCTTAACTAATTGCATAATCCATGGTTTGGAGTGACAGGCATATCATTTAGGCAAAGTAGTTACTGAGAAATTCAGTAACTACTTTGCCTAAATGATATGTGCATCTATATGGCCATAGAGTTCTTATATCTGAATCCTTATCCTCACAAAGGACATAGGAAAGGCCCAACTTAAGCTCATTATTTTATTTCCTCTGGGTTTCCATCCACTGGTTCTGTTAAGGCCATCAGGAAAGAGGCTTGGGGCATTTGGGACGGCTTCGGATGCTAGAAGTGTCCAAGGTCAAAGTCAGTGGGTAAAGAGAAAGAAAGGAATCGGGACCATTAAAAGTCAAGACTTGAAGGGAATTCCCTAGCAGTTCGGTGGTTAGTACTCAGTGCTTTCACTGCTGTGGACCTGGGTTAAATCCCTGGTTGGGGAACTAAGATCCTGCAAGCTGCATGGTGTGGCCAAAAAGAAAAACGTCAAGAATGTGTATTTGCAAGTCTGTGATAGATGAACCCATTAGAACGTCTGCTCTGTGTTGTGTTTTCTCCAGAGATGTGAAGCAGACGTAGCCGTATAAGGTTATGTAAGACCATTACCCCTTTGATGTGCTTTTTTTTTGACTTCCTTTCCTTTCCTTTTTTCTTTTTTTCCCTATTTTCTTCTTACTTGCCTTGGGAAGTTGGCCCATTATATTATTTTGCCAAAGACCTCTAATAACATTTTAAATGGCTTGTAAAGCTGCTTATGAAACAGCACCAGGGACTTCCCTGCTGGCGTGATGGTTAAGAATCCACCTGCCAATGCAGGGGACAAGGGTTCGAGCCCTGCTCCGGGAGGATCCAACGTGCCGCAGAACAGCTAAGCCCGTGCGCCACAACTACTGAGCCCGCGAGCCACAACTACTGAAGCCCGCGCGCCTAGAGCCTGTGCTCCGCAACAAGAGAAGCCACCACAATGAGAAGCCCGCGCACCACAACGAAGAGTAGCCCCCGCTCGACACAACTAGAGAAAGCCCACGCGCAGCAACGAAGACCCAACGCAGCCAAAAATAAATAACTAAATAAATTTATAGAAACAACACCAAACACGTCTGTTGGGTTGAGGGGCGTGAATGAAATAAAAGAACTCGTGGGTAGAGGTTAGAAGAGACTGTATGGAAGAGCATCTGAGGTCAATTTTTGTACATTATCCACGCTTTCTGGGTCGCTGCTGTCCCACTGAAGGGCATGTACCTTTGAACAATATGGATGAAAGTCCCAATCAGGCAAACCACAGGCCTAATTCCTGTTCTGTTTAGAGCTCTTTAGTGCATGTTTGTGCCTTTAATGCAAACTGGTGGCCTCTTGGCCAGATCTGGTCCTTAGAGGCATTTTGGCTCCCACAGCTTAAACAAAAAAAAACAAAGGAAAAAGTTGCCAACATCAAAAATTCAGGTTATTTCATATGAAAATCAAAATTTCTGATTTCTCTTAGACAATCAGAAGTGTGGCTACATTGGGCTCGTATTTCCCCATTTAAATGTGACCAGGGCTGACTGGTGGCTGGTGTCCATTAGCTACGCTCCCTCTGTGTGGCTGTGTGTTGTAGGGGTCTGAGCATCTTTATCCATTCACGTTCTTTGTCTGAACCCTGATGGAATTTGAGGTTGTGACACCTGGTTCTTTCTGTAAGTGGTAAGTGTGTATGTGTGAGTGTGTGTATGTGTAAGTGTGTGTATGTGTGTGTGTCTGCGTCTTTCAGATCCTTAGGTGGAGGCAGGGAAAGTCTGTGTACTTTCAAGAAGAATACTTGATACTCTGTTTTGATTTAGTTTGTTTCTGATCACAGTAATTATTTAGAGAGTCAAATGTCATTAAAGGATGGTTGTGGCTTCGTTATGTTAACCAAAAGCAGACACTGGATAAAAGAGTGATTTTCAAAGAGTAGGTTTCACCAGTTAGTGAGTCATATGTAAATTAAGCACTTCACCACTGGTATTAAAAAATATAATAGAGGGGCTTCCCTGGTGGTGCAGTGGTTAAGAGTCCGCCTGCCGATGCAGGGGACACGGGTTCGTGCCCCGGTCCAGGAACATCCCACATGCCATGGAGCGGCTAGGCCCGTGAGCCACAAATTACTGAGCCTGCACGTCTGGAGCCTGTGCTCCGCAACAAGAGAGGCCGTGATGGTGAGAGGCCCGCGCACCGCGATGAAGAGTGGCCCCCGCTTCCCGCAACTAGAGAAAGCCCTCGCACAGAAATGAAGACCCAACACAGCAAAAAAAATAAAATTAATTAATAAACTCCTACCCCCAACAACAACAACAAAAGCAAACAAACAAAAACACATTTATTTGGTTCTTGCCTTCCGTTATTAATATAATTCATTTTTTAACAGTCTGAGGTAGAAATGATCCTCTTCTTAATCCTTAACATTAATGTTGAAACCCATCTAGCTTTCCTTGAGTAACTTCTCTTATGTTCCACACATTAATTCAGCAAAGTTATGTTCGTTTAAAAAAAAAACCTCTTAGCTGTGTTTGGTTCATCTCATGGAGTGAACACCTAGAGTAAAGTTTGATCTGTGATTTGGGAAAGCATAGTTGCCTTTGGGAATGAAATCATTCTTCAAGCCATTGTCTGTAAGGAAGGTTAGGACAGAATCTGAGAGTCATAGAATCCTTTTACCTCTGAGCTACATGGCGCCGTTTCTGATGAGTTTCTGATTCGCGGACTGTGATGGGAAGGCCGTAGCACAGGTGTCCTCTTTGAGACTCATACAGGAAGTAGAGGGATTATACTAAGAATCCAGAAACAGCTTATTAACCTTCTATGACAAAACCTTCAGGACAAAAAACACTGGGCACTGTGTTGGCTTAGAGTGATTGGTTCCCTGTCCTTATTAATACCAGTTCATCGAACATTTTGATTCTAGTTAACTCTGTTTAGCACATGTGAACAAGAATCCTAATCTCATACAAAATAAATAAGCCTCGTATCAGACTATTCTAGGCTTTAGGTGCATTGAACTCGTAGGAGCTGGTTTTCAGAAGCTCTCTGTCTTTGTTTTCACAGGATGTGTGAGACTGGTGAAGGGCTGTTTATCTTTCAGACGCGAGATGGGGAGGCCATCTACCAGAAAGTCCACTCTGCTGCCTTGGCCATAGCCGAGCAGCACGAGCGCTTACTACAGAGCGTGAAAAATTCAATGGTACGTGTGGAATTTCTTGCTTATGACCCAGTGTATGCCGCTGTAGAATTTAGTCTTGGAATCTTTGTGCTGAAAATATGGTCAGTATATTTTTGGGCAGAAGATTTACTCCTGTACTCAGCAATGTAGTACTTGGATTAAATGCCATCCTTGGAAAGCTCCAAAAGGCCACCTGGTAACACAGTAACTATACACCGCCTCATCATCTGCTTACCCACTCTGTGCCTCAGTTGTTACCTGTGTGTTTAATCAACGTGGGCTCCTACAACAAAATACCGTAGACTGAGTGAGTTATAAAAAACAAATTTATTTATTCCTCACTGGGAGGTTGGGAAGTCCAAGATCAAGGTGCCGGCGGATTCTGGTGGGACCCGCTCCCTGGTTCATGGATGGCTGTCTTTTCACTGTGTCTCATATGGCAGAAAGGGTGAGAGATCTCTGTGGGGTCTCTTTTGTAAGAGCGCTAATGCCATTCATGAGGGCTCTGCCCTCATGACCTAAGCATCTCCCATAGGCCCTACCTTCTAATGCCATCACTTTGGGGGTTAAGATTTGAGCATATGAATTTGGGGGTGGGGGACACAATATTCAGTCCATTGCAGTGTGTGTGTTTGTACATTAAAATCAATTTGGATATGTATGGGCATCTATAGACACAGCTTTGTGGGTTATCTATCTATAAATATATATATAATATTTTTAACTGTAGCAGGAGTTGTCATTTCAAATGTCAGCAGAGGTCAGAGAGAAAATGAAGGTGAGAGAAGAGGGCTGAGGGGAAACTGGGGTGAAATATCAAAAGCTCAAGACCAGACAACTGTCGACATGAGATCGTGGTTTCCGTGTAGGAGAGTTCTTGGCTTTTTCCAGATAAGTCAAGAATTTGACTGCTTGTAATATCTTCCCTTGTGCAACTGTTGGAAATTAATTCCAGCTGAAGCCAGCAACAAAAACCAGTAATGCTTTGTGGGACAAAGGAAACCTACCTGTAAGACTCCATCCTGCCCACAGCCATGCATTTGCCATCTCTAGTGGATAAACCTTCATAGTCATCAACGTATGAAAACACTGCAAACGCAAATACACACGAGCGTACGTAAATGCCCTCCCAGAACCCCTACTCTTTTCATTGCTTAGTGCCAGGGACTGTGCATTGTACAGACAATTATGATTCATGAGTTTCTTCTTTAAGAACAGTAAATTTACAAAGTCCGAAATGAATGTACAACAGTTAAATAATGCAAATCATGCAGTGTGGCTGCAGATACATGCGTAGAGATTCACATCTGGAAAGAAATCTGCAAATCCAGAAGGAACTGGGTTGGCATGGTAAGGTTAGGGCCGTTTGAAAAGTTGTGATTCAACCATGTGGGGTGGTTGGATTTAAAGATGGGAAATGCATGTAGTATGATCTATCCCAAAGGCTCTCCAGATTATTCCCGGACGACTTGTGCATGCAGCACTCTGGGATTTTAGAGCAGGGATCAGCAAAACTTTAGTAAAGGGCGAGATAGTGATATTTTAGGCTTTGTGGTCAGAGCTGGTTTCTGCTGCAACTGCGGACAGAAGCGAGCAACAGGAGAGAAGGGGGGAGGGAGGAGAATTCAAGCTGTTTTGAACTTATGGACGATGTCATTGCATTAAAGTTGTGAGAGCTACACAAGGTGCCTTTAAAGGTCTGAAGACGTGCTTTTACGGTTACCTTTTTGTAAAGCCGTCGATTAGCATGTACCTTGTTATCTACTTGAAAAGCAGGTTCTGCAGGCACATGTTTTTCCATTTACGCCTCCTCATTAGTCTTCCACTAGAAATTAATCAGGAGTATGAGTAATTCGTTCAGATCACCCTTTTGCAGATTTAACTGGAATATAGTGTTTGCTCTTAATTTGCTGTGTGCTTAACAAGCTCTATAACATGAATGATTTTGAAAGTAAACACATCCTGTTTTAGATGGAAATGAGTAAGCTTCAAAACGGGATCTGAATCTCAAGGAAGTTAAACTGGGGATTGTGAGATGCTTAAAAATCAACATCCTTCAATCCGTCTCTGATTAGGGGAGAAAAGAGATACTGTGCTAAAATGAAACAAATGAAGGTGATACTAAAGCCCCTAAGTTAGAGTTTCGCATTTTCTGGTCACTGGGAGCGGATCCACACGGATTGGCTCTATTCTTGACTAGGAATTGCCTTTGTGCCACTACTGGCTTGCTTCCCTGAGATGGTCAAGGTCACGAATGGAGAAAGATGGTGAAGCTAACCTCATTATTAGGAAGCCCTAACCCACTGTTAGCTGCCACTAACTCCCAAGACAGAATGCTTCACTGTGGAACGCATGACAGTTTGAAGTTGCAGCCTTCAGTGAAGGGGTTTGGATCAGGCTTATGACCTTGAATCCCAGAAGTCAGAAAGAGGAGACTTGTGGGTCAGATAGTAATAATAACTTTTATTTTATTATCATCGTCATTATAGTCATTATTGCGATAGGCTGAACAATAGCGCTCCCAAATCTTTCCTACCTTAATCCCTGGAACCTGTGAACATTATCTCATATGGCAAAAGGGACTTTGCAGATGTGATTAAGTTAAAGCTCTTGAGATGGGGAGATTGTCCTGGATTATCCAGGTGGGCCCGGTGTCATCACAAGGTCCTTGTAAGAAGGAAGCCAGAGGAGCGAGAGCCAGACGGAAGGTGATGTGGCGATGGAAGCAGTGGGACAGACAGAGATTTTTGAAGGGTCTGTGCTGATGGTTTGAAGGTAGAAAGAGATGTGACCCAAAGGATATAGGTGGCCTCTAGAAACTGGAAAAAGCAAGGAAATGGATTCTCCCCTGGAACCTCCAAAAGGAACCAGCCCAGCTGACACCTTGACTTTAGCACAGTGAATCTGATTTCAGACCTCTGGCCTCCAGAGCCGTAAGGGGATAAATTTGTATGGTTGTACGCCACCAGTGTTGTGGGAATTTGTTACAACAGCTATAGGTAACGAATACAATAATAATATCAAAAATAATAAAAATGTATCGTGTCTCTACTCTGTAGCAGACAATATTTTAAGGACTTTGTGTGTACTTTCTAACCCTCCCAATGACCCTTGGATGGAGGGCCCAGCACCACCAGCTTGGAGGTAGTGGGGCTCCAGTTTGGAGCAGGTGTGCTGGGATAACCCCACTTTACACTTTATCTCGGAATCAAGCCCCTAGACACGTTTTCTTTGCCCTGCATGAGATCAGGTCACTGCTGTTCTAAAAATTCCAAATTAACGGCTGACATTTAAAAGTTAAGAGGTTTCACATAAAACTCAGATTTCTGTAGTATCTTAAAAAGTAAAAAGGCCACACTGATCTCACACCCCCATGTGGCAACCATCGGATATGCCTGGTGCTGCCTTCCCTCTTTAGGTAGAATGGGGATCTTCAGTTCTCCGCAGTCCCTACCACTCTCCATTGTCACTCAGCAAGTAGTCCTTCTCTGGGCATTTGCTAGTCATGCTGTGGCCAATTGATGTCCTGCCTATGTTACATGTATAAGTTTTCTGTTGCTGTGTAACAAAGTACCACAAACTGTGCACCCTAAAACAACACACGTATGTTATCTCATAGTTGCCATGGGTCAAGAATGTTGGCATGGCTTACATGGGCCCCCGGCTTCAGATTCTCACAAGGCTGGGATACTCTAGTCTCATCTTGAGGTTAGACTGGGGAACGACCCACTCACAAGCTCACAGTGGTTGTTAGTGGAAGTTAGTTCCTTGGGGCTGCGGGATCAAGGGCCTCAGTTTCTTGTTGGCTAGTGGATGGAGGCATCCTTAGCTCTCAGGGACCACCCTCAGCTTCTTGTCATGTGGGCTTCCCAACTTGCTTCCTCAAAGCCAGCAAGACCACAGTCCTATGTATCCTAACCATGGTCGTGACATCCCATCATCCTGTCATAGGCTGTTGGTTGGAAGCAAGTCACAAGTCCTTCCCACGGTCACGAGAGAGAGGGGGCCACACAAGGGTGTGCGCACCTAGAGGAGATCAGGGGGCCACCTTAGTGTCTGTCCCCATATACCAAGCAAACTTCTGGAATAATGTTTATTTAGTGCTTTGATTTTACCTTTTAAGTATGTTTCCTGCTTTATGGCGTGTTGCTAATAATGCCATTTATTTGTGAAGCATCTGCTAAATGCCAGGCTCTTTAGCGACAACAACCGTACCACTTATCAAGCCAGGCACTTTACTCGCTTTTTCTCTAATCACCACAATATCTCTGTGAAGTAGACTTATTCATTCATTCTCATTTATTAGTTCATTCAAGTATGTTTATTGTGGACGTAATATGCTGTTATGTGCTGTAGGATATAGCGGTAATTGACAGGTAAAGCCCATGATCCCATGGGTCTTATAATTCAAGGGAGTATTATTCATGACCCTTGACCTGGAAGGAATCACCCTCCGGATCTTATAGATGAGAAAACAGATGCTCACAGTGGTCAAGTCACTTGCCCACAGCCATAGAGCTCATGACTGTTGGAGCCAGAAATGCAGGATCCTTTTATTTGGTTCCTAAACCTCTACCTCTGGCCACAACGCCTTACTCCCCAGAAGGGTTTTAAAGCCCTTCTGTTTCTTTTATATCCGCACTGAGAACTGTCTTAGCGTTTTCAAATTACCCTGAATATCAGAGTACCTTTCAGAAATACATATCAATCAGAGTATATGTTAAAAAATTACTGTTATAAGAAATCTCGTTTCTTTTGGTACTTTTGGGACCAGATAGCAATCATGTTTCTCATAATTCTTCCCCCACCTCCTCTCTTTTTAAATTCAGTGTATTGTGATTCATTCTAAATAGGACATAGAAGAGGGTGGGCGGGCCTGGGGTATTAGGGGAAGGACTAACTGTTGAATGAGATGGAGCCGCTCACGAGCTGCCAGCTGCCTTGCTGGAGCAGCTACAGGGAAACTCTGCCGGGACAGTTTGGGACTCTCCCGAGCAGCCAGCTATTTTTGCCACCTTGGA